TGACCTAACACCTTAAATAATTTGTTAAGATTATTTTCGTTAAACGTGGGTATCAATGCTTATATTTTAATAGCCTAAGAAAAAAAGTAAAAAAAACTACTGCCCTCAAATAATGAATACATATTGATATTTGATGAAATGTCCTATAGAAAACATTTTCAATATAATAATAAAAAAGATGTGGTGGAAGACCACCAAGACCATGGTGTCCATGGACGAACAAACCACGTAGCTACTAGTAGCCAGACTACACATGCACTGGTATTCATGGTAAAGGCGATTAAAAAAACAACAAAACAGCCCATTGCCTATTATTTATCCAGCTGCTATGTTACTGCGGATAGACTGAAAGCCATAATAAAAGAGGTATGTACGTAAAGAAGTTATCTCTTTATAATATGACACTAGCTGTGTTCTGTAGTTTCACCCGTGTAAATTCCAATTCCGTGGGATAAAAAGTAGGTTATTTTTTTAATACTTACCAACTTTTAATGAAATTGGGCTATTAGTTCTGAAGATTGTCCGCTACAAACATTCATTCCAACTTATAAACACTTCTTTATAATATTATTTAGTATAATTAGATCGACATAGAACTGCGTATTATGACATTATGGAAATATTAAACTTTGAAATACCCTTAAAAATATTTAGAAACAAATTTATTAAAAGCTTTTAGAAAAATTTATTTCGCAAATAATTTTCTAAAAGCTTTTATATTTCCGCAAAGTAACGCCAGATTCTATTAATTATAAACAAATTTATTTACTTTTCAGGTAATTGAAGCATGTCTCAAAATAGGAAGGACTACATATAGCTGCAACAGTATATGACATGGATGGTGTCAATAGAAGAGGATTGACCTCTAGGAGTCACTGAAGAATCCCCGTTCTTCAAGAGATGGCACGGAAGTAGTTGCGATCTTTGATTCACCACATTTATTAAAATGTTTTAGAAATTTATTACAAAAGTATAATATTAAATTTTCCACAAATATACGATAAAATGAATCTAACGGGCAAGGTACTAATATATTCTTTCAGCTGTATACATTGCATAGCTATGTACATTATAAATGTAAATTTGAAATGTTTTTAACATTTTCTTAAGTTTTTTTTTAGGTATAGTTAAATGGAGTCACATTCAAGAATTTTACGAATTAAGACCATAAAAATGAAATTTTCGTTTTCGCAGCTAAGCTCCACAGAGAGCGTCTAAACCAAACTCAAAACAAAAATTGCCCGTAAATTTGGCTACACAGGTGTTTAGCCACTCAGTTGCTGCCGGGGTATTTCTTACAGATTCGCTTTTCGAATAAAAATACTTACTTTTAACAGTCAAAAGTAAGTTTTTTTTTTTCAATATATTTTAATAATTGTTGTTATATGTGTACAGATATAGTAAAGAGTGTTTTTCTTAGTGAAAAGTGAAACATTAGTAGTTATATAGTTATAATTACTTTGTACATATGTTATGTTGTATTGTCATGACAATTCTTTTGTCGCGAAGGAGTGCATTGGGTACAGTTATAATAAAAGTAAAAAAATATTTTTGCTTTTAGATGCCCAGGAAACATTTGAGAAAGACCGAAAGAGGGCAGTGTGCTATAACACAATATGAAGATGCTTATAAAGAAGTGAAACGCGATACTTCTTTACGGAAAGCTGCGGAAATGCATGAAGTTAATCATTTAAAAATTTTCTTTGTTAATGTGTTTGTTGCGATACATTCGTAAACGTGATGGAGCCGACGCGGGCAACAATAAAGACAGCGTCAGCATGGGGTACGTCGCTCATAATAGTCCTTTCTGATTTTTTTATTGTAACTGGCTTTACGGCTCTGAGTTCTAGCCCTCCTGAGCCTGAAATTACAATGTATAATTATCTTTAAAAATTAGAAGTGTCACAAACGATACATTCATCATATATTCACTTTCACACTGATTCACGAAGAGTTTATTTACGTTTGCACTATTAATTAATATCGCGTTGTTTTAATTTTTATATATCTCGAACACCAGAAGTAAAGGAATATAATGGTCGAAAGAATTTTTAATCAGCTAATAGACTTTGGATAGTATCAGGAACTTTATCATTGTTAATATCTTGAATGGAATTAATGACAAGTCTTCTCTGAGGAGCGAGAACATCAGCTGTCAAGATACATAAAACGTTGGGCAGAAATTTATTTTGGCCTTTCTCCGAAAGAGGTACGGAAATTAGTTTTTCAGCTTGGCTAAAAATACGAACTGAAGCGACCTACTACTTAGACCGAAAACGAGATGGCTGGTGAGGAATAGTTTTGTTAATTATGAATAGAAATTCATCACTCTGTTCGCTTAGCTCAAGCTACTAGCCTTTCAAGAGCGACAAGCTTTAACAAAACGAATGTCAAAGCTTTTTATGACAATTTGTATATACAATGTTGACGAAACAGGCGTCAAAACCATCCAAGGACCTGATAAAGTAGTAGCGAGACGTAGCATACGGCAAGTGGGAGCTCCTGCTTCAGCCGAACGATGCACATTAGTCACGGTCGCTTTATGCGGTAAATGCCTTGGGCAATACTATCCCTCCTTTATTCATATTTCTACGGGTTCATTATCACGATCATTTTATTAGGGACGGACCAATAGGATCGAGTGTTTTTCGAAAATTTTAAGAAGTTTTCTAATGCTTCCCCAACACATAAAGACTTACTAGTGTTGGATAATCATTCTTCGCATATCCATATTAACACATTAGATTTTTGTAAAGACAATGGTATCACTTTGCTTTCATTTCCTCCACACTGCTCGCATAAACTGCAGCCTGTAATAAATACTGCTTACGTAAGATATTATTTGCAATAAAAGTGATTTTAGACCGTTTTTGTGTATTTTTGAACCTATCACTACCGACCTCAAGCACTGCCCCTGGGGTGTGGTGGTATGTGACATTTTTCCTTTTTTCCTGATTTGCTCGTGTGAGTTAACCATTGTACTTAGGTACAAAATTTTTTTTTGTACCTAAGTACAATGCATTTTTGCATTTTTACGTAGATAAATGTATACTTTACCATAAAAGACATCTTTCTTCCAGTTAAGTGGCATACTAACACAATTATCGGCGATCCATTGAAAATTGTCACAACCGTACCCAGTCTACTCTACACCTAAAAGAGTGGTAAACCACATGCCACGAACATATCGAAGACATCTCCACGTTGGGAATTTTTCAATGAAATGAAAATATTCTTCAAATCTTTAATATTGATAGGATGCCAGAAACCTTTGGACTATGAATAGTATCAAAAATTTGTATTGCAATTTAACAAAAAAACATGAAGACATTCGTTCTATTTAAAACAGGGCTCTTTAACAAGACCATCTAGAAAATTTATTCGGGGCTATAAGAGCCAACTGTGGTTCTAACGTCAACCCAACAGTGCGCCAATTTGTAGCTGCCTTGAAAAGTACCATTTTTTCAAAATTAAATAACTCAACCACCACACCACACACCACAGTTGGCTCTTATAGCCCTAAATGATGAAGGTTAATTTGGCTACACAATTATTAACCCATATTATGTGCTCACCGCCCCATTTTTAAAACGGTAGGTTATTTGTTATCTGTGTCGATCTAAAACTGTGGTTTGATTTTTTATTAGTACTGTTCGCTTTGTTTACATTTTGGCATCATATGAAAAAGAAGATGTCGAAGTGTTGCCGCCATTTCTTCTGACTTTTGGAAAAATAAAAAGTACAAATGTTGTTTTCCCGATGACGAGAAGGAAAATATTAAATAAGTTTATGTTTATTTTTCTATAAGTAAAACCGTGTAAAGCAGTTTTGATATGTGTTAGTTTATACTTGGTTAGTTTTATAATAAAATCGATTCTTTCTGTTGAGATTTAGTTATTTAGAGACATTATTTATAGCGGCCCAGTATGTGGCGCTATAAATAATGTCTGTTGTAAAAAAAAATATGAAAGTAAAATAATGTCTGGGCGCGAAAAATAATGTTGATTTCAAACTTCATAGTATATGTGTTATATTATATTTACATTGTTTATAGCAACTGTCAGTTATATTGGCACTTTATAAGTTATACTTTTATATTTATTTATCTTAACAAGTATACTGACTTCTCGTGCTAACAAACGCCGCACAATTTTTTTTTCTGATGAAAGTGATTGCTCTAGTGAGGAAGAAGTTTTCTCGCAGTGTAGTGATGGGGATAAGGAATGGGAAGAGGAAGAAGAGACGGAATCCAGTGATGAGAGCATTTTTGATTCGAGCAAGTCTTGCAAAAATAGACTTGCAGTGAGCCGTGACCCTTTAGAACTATCACATAAATTACCCCCAAAAAATCAGGCGGGTAGCAATGAAGTGATGCCTTCCCGTCAAATATCGACAGAAAAGGATAACCCTAACTCGCCGGATGTGATACAAGATTATGGCATGTATCCTGACATTCCTGACAATTTATTGGTAGACGTTGATACAACACCATCTGTATCGTTACTAAGGTCATCGGCTCCCACTCCAAACTTGTCAATTCAGGAAATCCCCACACTTCGTAATGAAAACGTTGCCAGTTCCCCTACGCCGCCGACACTTTCCGCTAGACATGAACCTTCACAACCTGAGGACCAGCAGCCATCTCAACAAGGAGCCACTTCGTATTGGACTTCAGATGGTACATTAAGATCATAGATTTTACTAAAACTCAAGAGTTATTAGTTCCAGCTCCATCAAATCTATATGAAGCATTTCGGTTACTTTTGGACGATGATTATTGTGATATGATTGTGCATGAAACTAACCTCAATGCAGTAAGAGTTTTAGGACAACCTGGTTTAACCGAAAAATCCAGAATAACTCACTGGAAAGATTTAGACCGCGAAGAATTAATTATATTTTTGGGTTTACTGCTTCACACAGGTACAATTCGCCTCAACAGACTCAACGATTATTGGAAGAAGAATTGGTTATTCAATTTGTCTTGTTTTAGTCAAGATATGTTCCGGAACAGATTCATGCTAATCTTACGATGTCTGCATTTTACATCAGAACCAAGCGATGAAGAAAGGCTGCCTAAAATTCGTCCAGTTATGTTCCATTTCAACAACACAATGAATGCTATTTATTATCCAGGAAAACAGCTTTCTTTGGATGAATCTATGGTGTTGTGGCGTGGTCGTCTAGTGTTTCGCCAGTTCATCAAAAATAAGAGACACAAGTATGGTGTTAAATTGTACGTTCTGGCTGAGCCTGATGGTACAGTAATAAAATTTCAGATATATGGTGGTGCAGGTGATGAGACTGCCGGAGTTGGACACACTCAAAAAGTTGTTCTGAAGTTGCTGGAAGAAAAACTAGATTCTGGTCACAGTGTTTATATGGATAATTATTACAATTCGTATGATTTAGCAGTAAAACTGTTGGATCGTCAAACTTATTGTACTAGTACCCTTGGTAAAACACGAAAAGGAAATCCTATCGAACTTGGCACAGTCACATTAAAAAAAGGAGAAAACAAATCTTTATTTTTGAATAACGTACACATCGGCAAATGGAGAGATAAGCGATATGTGCTTTATTTGACAACGGAGCACGAAAATGAAATGATTGAAGTTACGAATAAAAGAGGACAAATTACAGAAAAACCTTCAGCAATCGTGCACTACAACCACTTTAAGTCAGGAGTTGATCTTCAGGATCAAATGCTGTCCTACTGTCCCTGCGAGAGGAAGACTATGCGCTGATATAAGAAGATATTTATACATACACTGCAAATGAGCCTAAGCAACTCATTTTATTTATATAACAAGTTTTCTGCAACGAGTAAGATCAATTTGTATGATTACCGTCTTTCAATTTTGGAGAAGATGTTACCTAAACAAAATGTGTTAACGAAGACACTGGTCATGGAGCACAAACTAACCAAGATAGAAACGGTAAAGATACGTGAGAAAAAGGAAGGAAAGCGTACACGAACAATAAGAGAAGTAGTGAGGAAAGAGTGTAAGGGTTGCAGAGGAAAGAAAAAAAGAACAGCAACGCTCTTTGAATGTAAAGGTTGTCCAGACGCCCCAGGGTATTGTACTGAATGTCTTTGCGAAGCTCATTCATAAGTTTGATATATAAGTACCCACTACTGCCATTTTTATAAGAGAACAGTAGGAGATTATTGATTTGTTTTTCCAGAGTTCTTTGGTTTATTTTTGATAGAAGCTTTTTTATTTGTTTTTCGAATAAGTTTTTTGGTTTGTTCTTTATAAAGGTATTCTTTTTTGCTTTTTATTAATTTATTTTGCCAAAAGTTTCGTGATTTATGTTCCTAGAAGTGTTTTGTTTTGGTAGTATATTTTAGTTTATCATTTGTTTTTACAAGACAATTTTGATGTGGTTTGCACTTTTATAATGTAACAAAAGGAATAAGAGAACTATGATAAGTTTTTCGTATTAATAATCTCATTTTTTAAATAAAACTAATTAAATAAAAAAAATTGTTTTATTTTTTTGGCCCTTAAAATGAACTGTAAGATATTATTTTTAAAATAGTTAACAATTAAACCTGCACACGGCACCGTGTACACGGCCATACGCTATCCTGTACACCGACTACACGGCGCCGTGAGTTATTTATTTTTTCATGATATTCAGTCCTGAATTTTTTTTCTATCAAGGTTTTGGCTTTAGATCATCTTCAACTAGCTATATATAAAATAAAATAAAACGGCCCCCGGGTGACCTATTTATTTAAAATAGGGCTCAATTAATGAATCACTTATTTAAAAAGGCATTGAATGTGTTAAGGTACGAGACGCATAAGATATCGGCCTTTCTAATCCGTCATCGTCGATTTGCGATAATATCGCGCCTAAGCCATTTGGTGACGCGTCGACTGTTAAATAGAGCTTTGCATTTTGATTAAAATGAGCTAATGTCTGTTCCGAAATTAATATATTTTTAATATTCCCTGTCAGCGGCAGCGCCGACGCCGGCGCTGCTCGCGGCGTCGCGGGCGTTGCGCATACTTTCCGCCATATCAACCGCATTCACTAAGGTCAATGTCGTGAAATCTTGTGCGTATATAGGCGTTCCTTTTCTACTCTCGGCAGCATCCCCATAATAAAACGATCATGTAGCGCCTCCTCCACGTTCGAAAACTGACAGGTAGCGGTAAGTGCACGTAATCTCGCGGCCCTCTACGACGGTGTTTCGCCTTGTAGTTGGGTAGCAGCATAAAACTTATGACGCTCGCCAAACCAAACTTGTTTGGGGATGAAATGCGCATCCAGCAATCCTAAAATGTCTTCATAGGGCACTGTTTGTAGCTCTTTTGGAAGGGCCAAGTCCGACGCTAACTTATATGAGCCCTCGGTGAGTGCGCTCAGCAAGATCGCTCGCCTCTTGATTCCCGCTGGATCATTAACTATGTCAATGTCGTTCGCGATGAACCACTGTGTAAGTCTGTTCTAGTACGTTTTCCAACACTGTACACTATGATCGAAAACAGAGAAAAGTACCGAAAATTCCGATCGACATTTTTTTTTTAATACGAGGGTAAGCTCGAGTTTATAGATACTAATAGCTCGCCTACTGATTTTATTGAATTATTTTAAGATGACGACGTTGTGAATTTGTTTATAAAAAAAATCAAGAAGGTATGCTGATTTCGAAGGAAAACATTTAGATGTTTTATGGCCCTTGAATGCTTCTATGAATATATTATAGCATATGTTGCGTGGGACCTATGATCAAATCATTGATGAAACATCAGGCGTGTCTCTAGTGCGATAAAATGACAATAACGTCTTTACCGTACCTTCGACCTGTGAAGGTCTTTCCGAAGATCCGATCAGCGATGGTCAAGTGTTGAAAAAAAAATTCGATTCAACAGCCCTTTTGTATCCAAATGTATAATCAATATATGGGCGGAGTAGATCGTCTAGATCAAAATATAGGCTGTTACCGCATTTTTATTTATGCTAATAAATAAAAAAAATGGTATTGGCAACTTTTGATGTGGCTATGAATAGGGCTTTCCAGTTGTACAGGCTGTCCCCATCAGGGCAAGTGAAAGGGCATCTTGATTTCCTAGCCTTTATCAGGTCTGTGGTTACCATTTATCTACGAATATATGCGTTGGCTCGCTCTTTAGACCGTCCTATAAAGCCGTCTAGGAAAACGAGGGTGCCAGACGATGTACCTATGGATGAGGCTGACCATATAATTACTTCCAGTGTAACACAGATACGTTGTGCCGAATGCTATAAAAATAATATGAAATAATGTTGAAAATGTGATATCGGCTGTCATACTAATTGTTTTCAAATTTTCTACTCCTAAATATATGATAAATATTCTTTAGATATAATAAAAATTTCTTTACAACCTCTATAAAAGTTTTTTTTTTTATTAATATACCCCTTAAATTAATTGAAATGGAAAAATTTAAGGAGTTAGGCGTGGTCTGCCGTACTCAGCGCCCCAAAATTGGGGCGGTAAAAATGTCCAATATGGTTTTTTTACTATTTACTTCGCAGAAAACCTTATTTTTATGCTAATTGGACTTAGAATAAAGCAAAAAAAAAAGCCAGTTTTTGTGAAAATAAAAGTTGGGCATATACGGGTTCAGTACGAAAAAGCATTGCTTCTTGGTGACCGGGTTTTGAAGTCGTCGCAGTTTCTAGACTCATCAGCAACTGTCAATTTTTTGTCAATTAAGATTAACTTTTTTGACACAATGAATTAAAGAAAGTGTCATTTTTATGGATTTAAGCGACCAATTGATGTACAAAATAAATCTGAAATACTTAATTTTCTTGATAAAGTAAAGACGTACATATTAAATTCGGAATTTCATGTAAAATAACGAAGAGTAATTAAAAGAAAAAATGTAGTGCCTCAGAAAAGAAAGCCGAAAATCGTCGAATCAGCTAATAAAACAGGATTTATTGGTGCCATCGTTTGCATAGAATCTCTGAAAACACTGTATCGGCATGTACTTGAGGAAAGAAAATTCATGACTTTTTCAACGTATCGACTCGGCCAAGATCATTTAGTGCTGTTTTTTAGGAGTTATCGGAAAACAGCTATGTGCAACAACGACATCTGGCACAGAGATGTTGTTTGCGCTGTATGTTCTATTACGTTAGTACATAATAATTCAATGTGTGTTTACAATGTTTGGAAAGGTTTTGTTATGTCGTAAATAGTCAATGGTAATGACTTAAATGCTAAAGATATCTATGTATATTTTTAAACTATGATGAGATTCAAAGTACACTATGATATTTACTTAACCTAAATCAAAATATAAAGGAATTATAATACTTCGTTAATCATTAGTCATTTGTCTCCATTTTTGTGATTTGGGATAATATTATATATATATATATATATATATATATATATATATATATATATATATATAACAAAGAAACAGTAAGATTCGGTGGCAGTTTTGTATAAAACATAAAATAGATGCTTAACACCTTCTATTCCATTTATTTTGAAATTTTTAAGTAAATGTTTTGAGAAACACTACTAGGCCAGCCCTATCATTAATAATGGGGCCTAGAATTGGTTTAGATTAGAGATGAAACGGATAGCTGTTTGGCCGGATACCGGATATTCGGCCAGTCTTATCGCCGGATAGCCGGATATCCGGCCGCCGGATATTCGGCCGAACATTGCCGTTTAGTGCATCGTACGCAGCGAACTTGCATAGGTGGCGCTAGTGGTGGGAATCGTGTGCATGCGGGACTCGGGCGACTTCGGGTATTTTCGTTCATGAGCGAAGTTAGCAATTGGTTCATTGACTTGTATTGATTGCAAACACGATCGTTTGAGGTTATTAAAATACGTGCTTTTGTTATTTGATTTCTATAATTTTTAACAGATTTAACGACAAAAATGACATCGATAAAGAAAAGATCGCTTTTATGGGAACATTTTGATATAGACAGTGATGATCCTAAGCTTGCTGTTTGTTTACTATGCAATGTTAAAATTTCACGTGGCGGCGTAGGGAAAAAAGCAGGTATGTTTCAAACAATATTAGCGTTTGTGTTTTTACTTTTTTCGTTGTAATTAAATTACCTACTAAAATTTATCGCTTAATCAATTTCAGTAGGTAATTTAATTACACACGAAAAGCTCTAAACCACAACATTTAATTGATCGCTTAATCAATTTTAGTAGGTAATTTAATTACACACGAAAAAATTTATCTTATATATATTAAATCGAATTCGTAGAAAACAACTTGACAAATACAGTAACAGAAATTTTCTCTGATGGACTCGCATAAAAAATATAATAACAACAAACCATCTTTTTTTTGAATGAGGTATTTTTCATGTTAAGGAACCGTGGAAGTTTCATAAAAATTGTTGAGTAGTTTTGAAGATATTAACTGTGAAAGCTATGAAGTCGATTTAATTTTTCCTAAATTGTAGCTTGTTGATTATTTGTAAGGCATGTTTACGTTTACAGTATATAGCAGAGTTTTGTTGATGGTATTTTATTTATAATTATAATAATTTTTTCTAGGTACTTCTGCCATGAAAAATCACATGAAAACAAAACATCTAAATGAATTCCGTGTACTGAATAAAGATCTTGCCGCTGTCGTGCCTACAACTTCTTTAGCCATCCCGGGGACAAGTTCATCTTCAGTACCAAATAGGCAATTGACTTTAACAGATACTTTCGAAAGGAAATTGCTTTGGGACGTTAATGATGCTAAAGCCAG